CGCGCTTTGTTCGGGAGCCGGGGGAGGCGGCGGGGGCGCGGAGCTGGGCCCCGGGGCAGGCCGTGCCCTGAGGGCTGAGGGGAGGGACCCTCCCTGCTGCGGTGAGCGCTGGAGGCCGGGCTGTGCCCTGGGTAGGGATGTGGGCCGGGGCGGGCTGTGGGGGGATGCGCACGGCTTTCACCGCCGAGTTATTTCGGGGTGGGGGGCCCAGCTCGGAGCCTGGTCCCGTGCACTTCGGAGGGCAGGCGGAGCGCCCGCGCCAGGCCAGGCCGGCCCGGCCCGGTTCCTGAGTCATCTTGTGAGCCGAGCCCCCTGGGCCCGGCTGCGGCTGCGGGGACGGAGTTTGAAAACCAGGTCCGGCTAAAAAAAAAAAAGCTTTGTTTCAAATAGCTGGAAACGTGCCTCGTTGGTAACGTGAGTGAGCCGGGTGTGGGTAACTCCAAGTGAGCAAACGGGAATCGGGAAGCGGGGATGTGAAATTTGGGGTAGCCTGGAGGGACTCTTCCACAAAGGAGCGTGGCGGATACACTAGGAATCAAAGCCGCGTCTGGGCTTTTTGTGCTAGCAAGTGCTTTCCCCATAGCCTGTCTGTCTCGGGGAGACAGGGGTGCCTTGTACTGCTCTACGGCAGTCCTCTTAATATGATGAAGAGTGGCATCATATCAGTAGCCTAAAGACGCTTATTCGGTCTAGTCGTCAGTCTTGAGAAGACTGTTTTCCCTTTGTATATTTTTCCCTCGCTCCCCTTCCCCTCCAAAGGCTGGAGCTGGGAGAAATGAGTGTTTTTAAAAAAGATGGATAAAAATGCCTAGAGATTGTTGGGTTATTCGCACTCCCAAATGCCTGAGGAAAATAACAATAATAAAATAACAAGTAAATTCACAAACTGTATCTTTTTACTATTAGAAAAGACAACTTCCTTTCTAGGCATATGCCTACTATCTAAATGGATGACTATGGCAGACATAAACTAATAGTCTGTCTCGCTTCAGGGACTCTGGGAAGGGTGATACTCGTTAACAAATTCAATCCTAACAACCCAGTGAAGGGCGCGTGATGCCAAATTCCTGTGTTATATAGCTCTGTCTTATAGTATTATAAAAAAAACAACCGGGTATCTGATTCTCTGACTTGATCGCATTTCATCTAGTTTAGAATATCTTTTTTGTTGAAGAAATATATAATGGTTAACGATATTTCTGTTGTGCTCGGGGACATATAAGAAAGTAACAGTGCCCTTTCTGCACTAGGATTTCATTTTTAACAGGAGCAGATTTCCTTAGTGTAATTTGGAGTTTGCACTGGTGCAGCAAAACTGTACTATGAGTTTATTTTTGCAGCTCTATGGTACAGAAAATATCCATGTGGTAGAGGCCCATGTTTTGAAAGGAAACTGAAAGTCACACAGGCCAAAGTCCCTTGTATATTTGTGGCTGTTGCGTTCGCTTCATTTGTAGCTGATGTGGTGGTCCCAACACACTTAGGGAGAGACTAAATCCAGCCACCTATTTCCCTTCTCATATGAGTGTTTTTACAGGAAAAAAGCAATATGAAGTTTCAAGTTCAGGTCTATTGCTGTAATTTCTGTCTTACAGTTTAGAATGACTTTTGATATCAGATCAGGATAGGACTATAAGCTAGGTAGGAAATCATTTATGTGCCTCTGTAGTCTGTCAGATCCACATGCTAACTTCAAGATCTTATTCCTGTCTTGTGGGGCATAATGTAAGGAAACTGCCACAAGTTACATGGTTGGAAAGGTTGACTAGACAATGTGCTGTAGAGGGTGAGAATGGTCTGTTTGTAGTAGCAAACTGGAACAAGAGCATTTCAGTTTTTCCTGGACTTCATACCTATAGGAACACACCCTGTTAACCTGTTGAGGGCTATGGGCTAGAATCTGAGGGTATAATGGGGCCTAGTGATTCTCAACTGTTTTGGACCAGGACCCATTTGTAAACATTGATGGCCAATCTCAATCCAGTAAATAGTTTAAGTAGAAAACAGCCCCCTGGCCCCTCATTCCCAATCCCGACTCCTGGGGGAGTATGTGTGGGGCACCGAGGGGCCCCAAGCTGCCCCTTGCAGGCTAGGACTCTGCCAGCCTGCAAGGGAAAACTCACAGTTTCCCATGTTTTTCTCCTTGAAAGGTTAATCCATTTTTGAAATTTGTTCATGACTCTCATATATTCTTGCGACCCATGGGTTGAGAAACGATGGCCTAGGGACCCTTTGTTACTAGTAGTGATGCACAAGATGGAAATATTCCCATTCCAGGATAAATTGACACAACTGGCAGTTATACGTGTTTTTTCCCAGCCACGTGAGCCTGCTTGAGAGCTCAGAGATTCCATGCATATGTAGAATTATGCTCTTGAATCTACAGTTGTTGTCCATTTTTATGCAAGTTGATATCTTTGGTTGGACCAACTGTGTGGTTGGGATAGACATAAGTAAGTTCTTGGGTATTGCAGTACTCTTTCTCAGGCCTCCCTGAGGAAGGCTACTAAGATCCGTTTTTATGGCATGCTCTCAGCCATTTTTCTCATGGCCAGCCTTTCATTCAGGGCATGTCCAGTTTTTGCAAAGATTAGAACAGTTTGCTATTCTCTACAATAGGTCTATCATTAGACATTTCTCTGACTTTTTTGTTTCTGTATCCTGCAACCTTGAACTTGGAGTTCTGCACTTATCCAGGGAAGCCATACTGACCTAGAATATATCAAATTCTTTATAACTATCCTCCAAGTTCCATCTCTAAAGATATGATACTGGTTGAAATGTGATCATGATAATAGTAATAGTATGATATGATGTTCTTCTTAGGTCTGGCTTGAAATTAAATGCTCTAAAAAGGTCAAATATACAGATGTGATGTAAATGCATTACTAATTTTGTGTTGAGCCCAGCATATTTTAACTTTGACTTGCAGTGTTTCAAAAAGCATTTCCCCACCCCATGCTCATCCCCATCTTGTACTGTGCCCTCCTTAATAAGAGATTTATTATACACTGGCCATTGTTCTGAGTGACTTGACTCTCAGCTCAGTGTTAACTTCCTTGTTAGTATGAAAACCTGCTCCCCCACACACTTTGTTAGTAAAAGGTCCTTGGTATACTAAATTTTTTGAGACTTATGTATTGTCAGGTGGCATGCAGCTTTTGGGTAGCTCTTGCTTGTAGGTCTTCCTACTGCTTGTCTGCCCTCTTGTCTTTCTTCCTCTGTCTCTATTTCAGGACAAACTTTATGGCATGCTGTGGTGACTGAGATCATCTCTGCAGCCATTTCAATTTATATATCATCAGCCTACATGATGAATTGTAGTCAGTCCAAAAATATAGAAGGTGGGGCTGTTATTAAAAAGAATGCCTGAGGGAAAGGAACCATTTATGTATGTTTAATTATAATTCATGTAAATATAACAACTTTCAAAATTAGAAACAGAGAAATGGATTCCTGTTTGGATGTTATGGGCAGCGTGGTACATTGTATTAGCCACTTCATTCTGTGGAGAACTTCAATGATTAAGTGTTGAATTTTCATTCTTTTCTTTCTTTCTGTGTTACAATATTTATTAATAACTTACAATTTTGCACTTGCAAGGAATTTAATGTAACCAGGATATTCCTGATAGGGGTGCACCAAGAAAGATTTTCTTGGCTGAGACCAATGGCTGATAATTAACCAGCCATATCATGCAATACTAATCCGATAACTGATTTACAGGAATGCAGCCTGGCAGCTTGGCGAGCAGCATCCTGCTGGTAAGTCTGTGGGGGGGGGGAATGGGGTGTGAGGGGGCAGATCGAGGCCTCCGCGGTGAGGAAGGGAGTGGGGTAGGAGCAGGCGTTGCTCGGCCAGGGCAGTGAATGCAACCTCAGGAGAAGGACAGAGCTGCAGGCGGCTTGTCCGGGGGGCAACGGGTGGGTGGGGAAGGGTGGTGGCTCTCTGCTGCTGCACGTACCCCCCGGGGAAGGCATGGGGGGCATGTGCACCCACAGATTTATGTGTGGGGCGGAGGCAGGCTGCTTGCTGTGGGCTCAGGGCCAGGGGCTGCATCAGCCTTTTCCCGGCTACACTCGGGGCAGGCGGGGGTGGGGTGGGCAGTGGCAGCGCTGGGAGAGGTGGCTATGGGGTGGGCTGTAGCCACCCCAAAATTCCCCATAGCCACCCTGTTGTCACCTCTCCCAGCACCACCACTTGCCCACTCCGAGTGCAGCCCTGGCCCAGTCCCCCTGCCAGGAAGAGGCTGGTGCAGCCCCTTGACTCAAGCCCACAGCAAGGAGCCCACCCTTGCCCCACACACAAATCTGGGGGGCACATGCAGTGGTGGGGAGCTGCCCCCTCTATCGTCCCTCCCATTACCCCTGGACGAACTGCCCGTGGCTCTGTCCCACTCCTGGGGTTGCATTCACCACCCTGGTTGAACAGTGCCTGCCCCTGCCCCACTCCATCCCTCACTGTGGGGCCCCAGTCTACCCCGCTTAATCCCTTTCCCCTCCCCCCACCACAGACTTATCGGCAGGAGATTGCTCTCCAAGTTGCCAGGCTACATTCCTGGCCGTGTACATGCTGCGGCTGTGTGCATACACGTGGCATTTGTTGGTGACTTTGTTGGCTATACTGGCCAAAAAAAAGCTCATTGCCAAAAATGGTAATTTTCCTTTTATCAGTGCTGATCCGATATACCATCGATATATTGGTGCACCTCTAATTCCTGATGCTTGATTATATAGGGAATATAATAGTGCATTGGTTGGTTTGGTCTTTACAAATCATGTTACCTAATGTTTATACTTGGTGAAAGGAATGTGAATCACTTATAAAGGGGTTTGTAAAGACTTTAATAGTGACCACAGAAATTTGGCCCATATCTCCACAGGCCTTTCTCATATAGCATTTTCATCTATATTGTCTTCCTGAAGCTAGTTATTGGACATGCTCTGATTACTAGAATAGAGAAGGGCTCTTTTAGAAGTATAGAAGTACCAAAGAGACATTATCATCATCATCATCAAGAGGACAAATTGGTTCACTTGCACTTTCACCAACCAGGTGCTTCTAGGGAAGGGCTGAAATAATGAAGACTAGTTTCTTTCTCAGCAGTTGGGTAGCTCTTGGAGGTAGAAAGAGAGCATATTCCTTCTCCCTGCCAGCAGGTACCACAAAGTGAAATATTTTAAGATGCTGACATGAAAACGGGGTCTGGTAACAACACCCTTGCAGAAATCTCTGGATCCATTCTCTTTAGTAGAGGTTTGACTTTGCACATGGGGACTCATTAGTTTGTTGAAGTATGTCTACCTCTTCAAATGAAGGCAGGGTAGGTCTGCACCAAGGGTTAGTCTCAGCTC